TTGAATTTTCATCGATATTAAGCCTAACAAATTTTTTTTTTTTTAATTATCGTCGCTATTGTATCGTTAAAAATTATTTTAAAATTATTTTATTGCTCACAAAACAAACAACCACTCATAATTAGAAAATTAAGGTTGCGGCCGACGTTTTCATCGCGAAAACGTGTACGTCGGACGTTCAGTGCCGCCTTCCTGTAAGCCTAGTAGTTTGACAATGGCGTTTGAAACGTAGAGCATGATTCTACTCACGTTCCAAATGCCATTGTTCTAACACTTTTATCTGTTTTGATCTGTTATTTAGTATGAAATTTTCTTTAATATTTCGATCAAAAATAGGATAATCATCTATGTTCACTAATAAAGTAAACATATCTAAAAGGAGGAAATATCATCTGAAGTATCCACTATTTAAACAGCGATAATTCACCTTGACTTTCACTATCAGGTGCATTATATAATGATTTTATATCAAATTTATGCTTATTAGAATAGAACTATAAAAGAATAATAATATGCATAAAGTTCTGATCTCAACGAATTGAGCTATTATTTCGTATTTTTAAATCGCCGAAACACATGAACGTATTTAATTAGGCTATTTGCATGACGTCTTACGGAAGAAATTCGCAATAAAATACGTTTAATTTTATGCGATTAACATTAAATTATGAAATATTACTATGAAGTATTTCTGGAAATTATCGTTTATGCACTAACAATGCTTTTCCTCATAATAATCAGTGTTCATAAACAGGAAACATCTATACCATTTTATAAGAAATAATTGTATCAATTGCTTGTTATTACCTTTCAGACTGACAGTTGTTTTAGGCGGTTTCCTTATGAGTAACCACTATAGCAGTAAAAAAGAATTTTTGCTGAAAAGTTTTTCTGAAAAGTTATAACACACTTACGGCTAATGGATATATTATATCTAAATTAGTAGATGTTATCAAAGCAATAATTGGCATTTAGAGGGCATACGGAATCTATTGAATCTAATATAACAGAGTTAATTATATTGAACTTGTCTATTTATTAAGTGCGTTATATAATCTATTAATTAAAAATACATTTAGAGAAGTCTACAGTTTTTACTGTCTTATCGAACAAACGAATACGAATGGACCCTAAACCATCGCTGACTGATTGCCCCTGGAAGTCGGCTTCTTACAGAAACACAGCTTCCCTATCATCAAGCCCCTGAAGACCAGACATGGAAAGACATGGTAAACGGAGTTATATAGATGAAAGCCTAAACCAGATATGAAAATATTGAAGGTAGGAGGCCACCATTATCTAACTATATATGAACTTCTGATGCAAAGCGAAAGTCACGTTATTTCAATTCATATATTTCCTCGGAAAGGAGTTAAATAGATCCCCAGCACGACTCGATTTGCTAAAGGAAAAGTATGATGTAAAGGGGCAAGACGCTAAAATATTAATTTCAGGTGGAGGAAAACCGTATTTGGGACAAGACTGTGTCTCGGAGACTCAATACTAAGCGAAATCACTTTGACTCTCAAGGCTGGTCTCGTTCTCATTCTTCAATCTTCTTTAATATCACTGCTTTTGGGCGCGATCGTTCGAACTTCGCCGGCCTCGACCACGAGGTCGTCCACCATGCATTTTCGATGAAATTAACCTATCCAATTTCGAAATTTCTCTCCGTTGCGTGTCGGCCCGGGTTGAATTTTTGTCGATGCCTAACGAAAACTTCCCGTTAAAAAAAAAATAATCGTGGCTATTGTATCGTCCGAAATTATTTTTTAATTTTGCACAAACAATATACAGTTTAACCCGATTATAATGTCGTCGGATGTAACGACGACCTAATATAACATCAAATTTTTATCGGTCCCACGACTTTACTATACTAGATAATGTTAAAAAAACCTACTTGTAATGACATAAAACCCTGTTTTAATGTCATATTTGAAGCACTCCCAATTTTACACATTCAGATTACAAATTTTATTTAACAAAACAAAAAAAAAGTACTACGTGTTCAGTCCTAGGGTCAGAGCCACTTCCTAGAACGACTGTGGGTGGTACTCTCATCACCTGACTCCGGTTTGCTTGTTTGTAGAGGGAGTCGCTATTTTGTATTTTATTTTGACTCGGTTCTCGGTCCCCTAAATACCTACAAGTCTGGTATTTTTATGCGCGCATAATTTGGGCACATACTACTCTGTGCCAAATTGCAACTCCTAACATGTACTTCTTCATATCTCTAAGCAGGTAACACAGCAGGCAGTACGATTTTATAAACAAGACGTATTCTTGTGAATTAAATAAAATTAAAAATATGATTAAAAATTACAGTCAGGTATTGTGACCATGTTACAATAAATAATTGCTCATTTCTATTTCGTTTAATTATTTTTATTAATTTACAACTTGTCATTGGTGATTCGACGAGGAAAATCTATTTGGACACAAAAAAGTACATTGATTTGACAAAAATTGCTTACATTTCAAATAAATTACTTTTGAAATATTATTCTTCTACAAAATTCTCACAATAATTCTTCCTACAAATATACTAGTAGTTAAAACTGAACTGGTATAGTTGCTGTTTATTGTTATATCTGTGTAAATGTACAATTAATAATAATAATAGGTCTAATTATAATGAAAACTAAATAAATATATAATGTAATTCCGAGCCGTGGCCCCCGCCATATGCGCCGATTTAATAAAGGCGCCAATGATAAGGTTTCGAAATAATATGTATTCGAAATTAAGAACAAAAAAAAATTTATATTTATATTTATATAAATATATTTAAATGCCATTAGGTAATTTTTTACAATAGTATTTTTTTACAATAAAATTATTTTTTTAATAATAAAACTTAAAAAGGCGCCATTTTTATTCTTGGCCATATGCGTCCAAAATCCTAGTTACGGCTCTGATGTAATTGAATTTACTGATTTTTATAAAAATCTCGAATATATTGTAACATTCTCAATCAAAACATACATTTATTTGCTGTCGTTAAATTAATATTAAGCTTTTAACATGTAAGAATTTCTGTTATACAGGGTGTATCAGAATGACGTTTTAAAAATTTGGAGGATTGTAGAGTATAAAATTTTGAACGTTTTGATATAAGGAACCTATAGCCGAAAATGTGATATAAAGTTTCTACAGTTTATACATTATATAAGCCTACCATATAATATGTAAATTACTGAAAGTGCAGTATTACTTATATTTTCTAACCGTAGTAATATCTATTGTATATTCAAGTTAAATAATTTGATGCTTAATTTCCTTCTTCTTCTTCTTCATTTTCAGCTTTCATTCCATGCACAAGAAGACCATTTCTAAAAATAAATACAAACACTAATCATGCATAATAATTGTATATTTTTTAAATTATTTTTGATAATCATTGTCAATATTTATTTATAGTGCCGCTGAGTAGATTAAACAAATTTATTTTAAACAAAAGGGAATAAACTAATATGAATCTTACATCAGTTAACACCTTTACTATTAATAAAAAATACCTTTTTTGCAATTTATTAAATTATATAATTATGTAACAGATATGAAAAGCTTAGATGACGTAGGCCTCGATATATAAACTTCTAGTCTAGAACAGAAGTCTATCATGTAAATTATTTCGCATTGTACGTACCTTTTTCTATCTTCTACTTGTGATAACATATCAGCCAATTGTGAATCTTTAGTTTCCGGTAAAAGTAAGGTCAAAACACAACAAATAAGAGAAAGTGTTCCAAATAACGCAAGAGGAAATGAAATATGAACATTGTTGGCCTTAAAAAATTATATAATATTACATATTAAAAAGTAAACAAATTTTACTTAAATTAAATAATAATACGTACTGCTTCTCTCATAAATGGAGCTGCCAGAGAACCTACTCTTCCCATCATTGAAAGTAATCCTATTCCAACATTGCGTNTTACTATATCGCATAGAAAATTGTTTTTCGCCCCCAAAATATAAATTGTTACTAATCGCCCCCTCAACATGGAAAAACGCCCATATGGGTGCGATATCGCCCCTGTTGAGAAACGCTGGTCTATACCCTAGTATCCAAATCATTTAAATAAATTTAGTTTTAAAAAAGTAATCTTTGAAGTAGTTAATTTTAATTTCATTTAAATAGTATTGGTTCTTTCAATAGTAACTTATAAGTATACTTAACAACTATTGGAATCAACTAAATAAAAATTCTCAGTATTTACAGGAGCCATGCGTTATAAAAACGGTATTAAAATTGAAAATTTACTCACTTTCTCAGTTATAGTGGATGCATAAAAGGAATGATCGTATTCCCACAACGTGCATGGAATTCGGGTTCTATTCTTTCCAGATGATAAACTATACATTTCACATTTACTATACACTTGTTTACTGCCAATTCTTTCTAAAGGAATGCTGAAATTTTTCCATTCTTCTGTAGTCATATTCGAAAATTCTGATGGCTTCGCACACCAATAATCAATATTCGGTGCCATGAATATTATACTAAAATTAAACCACCCAGCAGAAAGACAAGAACATACTAAAATTACGACGTATAATAGCTGCCATCTACCCCAGTATCCAATTATATCCGATACATCGCAATTTTCTTCTTTTAATTCCTCACTGTAATAAAATTTATAAAGTAATATCAAATCTATAATGCATAATTTATTAAGTAAGAACACAATAAGTACGACTTGCCTATACTCTTCATCGGGTATATCATTCATAATGTTTCGAAATAATGCCGAATTTACTTCCTGAACTACTTTCTGTAACACTATTATAATACCAGAATGCAGAATGAAGTCAATTGGAAAGTGATTGCAATTTATTTAGCACGAGAAGTAAGTTTCCAATAAATGAACAACGCGACGTAGCAGTGGCGTGCTGTGACATTTGATGATAGAGAAGCTGTGTTTCTGTAAGAAGCCGACTTCCAGGACAATCAGTTACTTGCGCGTCAGTGATTGTCTAGTGTCCGTCCATTCGTATCGTTTGTTCAATAAGCCAATAAAAACCGTAGACTTCTCTAAAGGCATTTTTAATATCACAATTACATACTGAATCGCTAGCGACGATATAAGGGCTAAAATTATAAATAAAATAATAAAAACTTGCTTGGTGAAATAAAATGTGTGATGAATGTACTGTATAGTACATACCTGGTACAAAATATTCTTCAATTATATTAATATACTTTTAAAGAAAATNGCCATGAATATTATACTAAAATTAAACCACCCAGCAGAAAGACAAGAACATACTAAAATTACGATGTATAATAGTTGCCATTTTCCCCAGTATCCAATTATATCTGTTATATCGGAATTTTCTTCTTTTAATTCCTCACTGTAATAAATTTTATAAATAATATCAAATCTATAATGCTTAATTTATTAAGTAAGAACACAATAAGTACGACTTGCCTATACTCTTCATCGGGTATATCATTCATAATATTTCGAAATAATGCCGAATTTATTTCCTGAAATACTTTCTGTAACACTATTATAACACCAGAATGCAGAATGAAGTCAATTGGAAAGTGATTGCAATTTATTTAGCATGAAAAGAAAGTTTCCAATAAGTGAACAACGCAACGTAGCATTCAGTATGCAGATGAGAGTTTCTCTAATAATTATAGACATATTAACATACATTCATAGAGAATATAGGGAAAATTTTGTATTGCTTTTAATATTACATCAAAATTAAAGTGCTTGTTTACTCCTTAACTTGGATATTGGATTTCCAAAATTAAATACTGATTCTATATAGATTTTGAC